GTTCCGCACACTAATCGAACACCACGAACCGGTAACTAATTATACGTTATATAGTTTTTGTCCATCCGTCTTTAGAGTATTACGATGATTTATTTTCGCGCGTTAAAAATATACACTATTGTTCGTTTTTATCGTAACAGTTTCTGCATTTATGGTCATACCATTGTTATCTTTATGGGTCAAAATTTTCGTATTTATGGTGATGGTTTCTAAATCGGAAAATATCACTTTGTAATGCAGGTCACTAAAAAGTTTTAATTCGCAACACAACACAACACAAAATAAACAAGTTAAAAAGTAATGGTAAACGATTTACAAAAAGCGCATTTCCATTGTATTCATTTCCCATTTGTAATATGCAACTTCTGTTAAAATCGTAAAAATCCGGCCACAAATATGAAAGATAGCGTTGAAAATGTGCAATCCATTTTTGACCTGATACGTCAATTTCTGTTTATAAGAAGAATTTCATTTCATTCATTTTCTAAATAAGAAAGTTGGAACTGCGCATGGGCAAATCTAAATTTTAAAACTAACGTTAGATTTTCCTTTGTTCCAAGCGCCTATGTATCAAATTTCATTTAAATGCTTCCATAAATAAAAAAGTTGGCACTGCGCATGCGCAAAACTAAATATTGAAACTGGCGTCAGATTTTCCTCTATTCCAAGTGCCTATGTACCAAATTTCGTTTAAATGTTTCCATAAATAAAAAAGTTGGCCCTGCGCATGCGCAAAACCAAATTTTGAAACTGGCGTTTTCATTTATTCCAAGTGCCTATGTATCAAACTTCATTCTAAAAATTCTAAAGTTTGCAATTCGGTTTATAAATGGCCGAGATGCGGATTTTGAATCGATTCTACTCAACTTTTGGCATTACGTATTATATGGCTAAAGCTATGCCCATATTGAATTTCATGCAATTCAGTTCATAACTAACGGAGATCTAAAAGCGATCGGACATTTCTAAACAAAATTATCGTTCACACGGACAGATAGAGGGACAGACAGACAAAGGAACAGACGGACAGACCAACAGACAGACGACAGACAGCAATACAAAATTAAAAACGATCTCTAGGATCGTTAATAAACGGCAAAAGTGTAAAATTATGGAACATGTAAAAAACGGTTTTTTGTTTTTTTTACAATAACTTTTTTAGTAATAAACGCAGAAAAATTCCTTCCTTGGTGCAAGTTTCGACATCATAACGAACCAAATAGCGAAAAAAGTAGAACAATAGCTCTTAAGATAAAGAACTAGTAGCGTCTCAACGACCGAGCGGACGGACGGACAAAGTGGCCACAATAGCGCATTTTTTAGCGCATTTTCACAAAAATTAAAAAATGCGCTATTGTGGCCACTTTGTCCGTCGGTCCGTCTGTCCGTTCGTCCGTCCGCTCCGAAATTCGGGTATCTTTCGATACTATAAGTTGTCGTTCACCATCCATTTTTAGTGCATTTCCACAAAAAAAAATCCGCTATTGTGACCACTTTATCCGTCCGTCGGCTCGTTCGTTGAGACGCTACTAGTTATTTATCTTAAGAGCTATTGTTCTACTTTTTTCGCTGTTTGGTTCGTTATGGTGTCAAAGCTTGCAATAAGGAAGGAATATGGTTGCATCACTTTGCTCTGGCGTTTAATAATCAAACATCTAGAAATACTTACTGCCACTTAACGGTTTCACTGTCTCTAATTTGGAACTCAATTGTTGGACTATTTATTTGTATATCACAAATCAAATCACTAGGTAACTGTATACGAGAAACAAGGTGTGCAACATGTACCAAGCGGAAAAGCGCGCGATGCAACTTAGATCGAGCGCTGGGCACGCCGGCCTCGTGCAGTTTGCTATCTTTGAAATTCAATAGCGTGAACATTTTCCAACCGATCTTGGTCATTTTTTTAAAATAAATTTTCCTGGTTCTTTAGCAACATATTGGCAGTTTTAAACTTTGATCAAACGTGTTTTTTCGTATAGCTCCCCGCATGCTGAAGTTTTCAATGCACTAATTCTACAATTTACACTTTGCAACAAATTTAGCAACAATCTATTCATTCGATTTGACTGGGAGTGGTATATGTTCATTCGCTCAGTTCTTGAGAGTAATTAAAAAAAATGATACAGTTATGTCTTACAGAACCGGAGAAATTGTGAGTTTTTTATGAAAAAACATGATTTCACTTGTGCAATTTTTTTTCGTTTTTCGCTAATAAACAAGTTCTGACCTACTCAAAACAGTTGTAATTTTAGTATGTGATAGCTATCAATGAGACCTATCGATTGATATACATTTCACCTGGTTCTACGCCATTGTCGGTCATGGTGGTATTTTGATGCGAATTTACTCCACTATTAGCTCGTAGTTGCTCCTTAGGTTATAAGTATCATACTCATTGCATAAAACTTTTTTGCTTTGCCTATATAAATATCTGTGATGCATTATCTGGTAAATACACAATTAACTATTGGTATAATCACAGTCTGGACTGGTATAACACTTAATTTGGGTAGATTCAAGCGAAATTGGGAATTAGGTGCTAATTAAGTCCCCTATCCTCGAATTAAATGCTCCTTTTTTTAAATTATTACATGTTCTGCCAGGTTCATAATTTAAAAAAAGGGGCATTTAATTCGGGAATAGGGCACTTAATTAGCACCTAATTATGCAATATGTTTGATTGTGTTCTGCTGATCTTGCTCTGCTAGATTAATGGTCATCATTCGAATGATTAATTAACCGTAGTTAATTAATTGGGTTGTAGAAAATCTCGTCTGATTTGATTGCATCTAATAGCATTAGAAGCGCGTTTAATTAACTTAAATTTTGAAATACGAGTACGCCGACCGGTCGGCCGGAATTTCCGATGTTTCCTTTCCCTATTTTGGGAAATTTATATAAGGTAAACGCTTAATTTAGAGGAAATCTTTTGGCATTTTCCGTTTTGAAAAGCGTGTTCTTTTTGCTTTCACCGAAACGTTAACAAATTTATCAACGTAGGTACTATTTAATTTAAAGGTAAGCGTTTGCTATATTTCTTCCGCTAATTATAAGGGGGGTTGTGTTCTGCTTTCCTGTATTTTGTTTCCGGTAGATACCGTTAATTAATTTGTGCTTCCGTTCCCCTTAAAAAATTGTTGCTATGTACCGTAATTCTGTTTTTAGATCATTCGCCTGAAGCCGGCCGCCGCGCGCCGCTGGCCGCAGATTATTCGAAGAAATGTTACCTGTAGCAATCGTTTCGCAACCATTCTGAATTCGTGTCCAGGGGCAAGGCCGCATTTCCTTGGTGGCACCTGAGCCTACCGTCCCGACCCGTTGGCTTCCGTTTGAGTTTGAGAATCTACGCTACCGTCCCGTGTCGTCAGCTTCCGTTTGAGTTGAAATGAATTCGTAGTTATATTGAATTGTCCATTTTCTTTGTAATTAATTAAATTTTAGTTTTTAAATTTAACTAATCATATCGTTTAATTTACAGCCACCGATTGTGTGCGAACTACCGAAGTTCTTCGCAAGTATTTTCATTTCCAAATCAAGTAGTGTTATTTTCATATAGAACTTTTTATTAATATTAATATGTCAGTTTTGACAGGAGTCTGGTAAAGTGACAGGGGGCAGGAAAAGTAGTCTTACTGCCACTGTCATGCAAACGAAAATTTCCTGGCGATTACAGGGAAACATTTTGTGACATTCATTTACCGTCGAATCATCTAGTTTTTGAGTGACCGTGTTTGAACTTCAAAATCAAAGGAGCCATTCATTATACGAGACCTAGGGATTTGTAGCGACTGTTAATCATTTGGAATAGCTTTTTGGATCAATCAGTATTTGGAGTTTGAACGACCAACGAATATCACAATTATTATTGCTATATAAGTACTTATGGTAACCCAACCTCTCACTTAAGATGCTCGAAATGCGGTATAATGATAAAACCGAAGGTAAATGCTATTGCTATTTTTCCTATTGCTACTATGCTACAAAGATCTGCAAATGAATGAAAGATTTTTTTAACATATGTGAATATTTTAAAATATAGATTTTTTTGCATTTATTTGCTATCAAGTGATCTAAGCAGAGAGGCAACGATTTTTAATTTTTCAGTTATGGAGAAAAAATGAAAAATGATCATTCTTCTTGAAAATTTCTGTTAAATCATTTTCGTTTAGTATTAGTAATAGTAGGTTATAGTTTGAATATCTTAAATTACGGGCTATTTCGAATGATTAGTTCCTTCTCAACATCATAAATATATCGAAAAATGTTGCATAAACCTTGAAATCCATAATGCATATTGCATGACTGCATTGGTTCAACGCGTCATACAGAATCGATTTTCTCGGTACAACAAAAAGTTACTTCCCTCTCTGAGAATCTCCCTTTGGAGACTTTGAATTGAATAAGAGAGAAAATCGGTTCGTCTTTCAGTCTATCCGCTTGATTACCATGCGACTCATTTATTGTAGGTAGTACCGGTAGTACTCAGTCCCATCAGTCAAAAAGTAACGAATCCGGGCAATACCACTGCAGCAAAAAGAATTCTTCTTTCTTTGGAACAATTCGATCGAATATATATGAGTTATTATAATAACAGCAGTATTACAGTCCAACGACAATTTTGCAATTTGCATTTAACTTTTCAGTGAACTATTTATTTCCACGCGTTAAATTTCCCAAGTCGCTCCCACACTATACCTACGGAATGTGGAACACGCAAGTTAAATGAATTTTTCCATTAATCCAACCAACGCGGGGTAGGTACCCAAGAAATTATGCGTGCATACTTTTTTTTGGTAGGTACTTCCCAATGAATTTGTGTTTGAATAGACGTTTATGGATAGAAATTCGTTAGCTACCATCTACCTTAACTTATTCTAGTCTAGTCAACGATGAACTTTTGTTGCTGAAATAAAAATTTCGCACTCTACGAAAGCCAGAAAGTTTAATATAATATAAAATGCGTACCTAAGCATAAGCGAGATAAATGAATAACATACCTTAATTGAATCGGGTAAATATTTTTCAAGGAAGTCAAGTATTGCTGGAAGCTCTTCTTCTTGTGCCAATCTGAAGTTTTTGCCTTCTGGCAATACATCCATCTCTATTAATATTAAGTATTGTATAAATTGATCGAATATATACTGATAAATAAAATGAATTTAAATTTTATATACGTAATCTCTGCGTAATTTTATTCATTCATTACTTTACGTCTGCCGGTTCTTTTACTAATTACATGCAAACTTAAATTTTAGATACCTTTTTAACGCCGAAAAAGTGATATTAGCACGTCGTAAGTTTAGAACGTGCTTCCTAACTAATGTGAACGTGAATATCAATCACAGTAATAGCAAATAATGTGCACTACTCTGAGAAGAATAAAAGCTCTTCGATCGGTTTGTAGGGCGCGGAAAGCTCTGCAGCCCCTAAGAGCTCCCCTTGCACTGCGGCAACCACCGAATGCAAGAGGTTGCCCAACCGACAGGCGCACAGGTACATTTCAGTTCGCGCAAGATACTCAAATCGGCACGGCAGTTACACCAAACTCGTATAACATTGATTTTTTTAACCACACTTCATATTTGTACTGGTGCCAAAAGTTATAGTGCAGAAGTTTACGGATATTACAATTTATATCGTATGCGGATTTATAAATTTGCGCCAAACGCAAAATTTATTTCAAAATTTTGGTAAAATGAGTTTCGATTTCAGATCTCAGCGTCATCTGTCTTTTAGCTTTGATAGTAGCAGAACCTTAAATCAACAACTGTCTTTCTTACCGACTATGAGTTTACATTCTATTACAGGTTAGGTCCTTTGTATTTATTTTATACAAACAAAGTGTTTGGCGAAATTCACTTTTTTTGTATTGCAGAATATCTTGATGATCTTAAAATGTCAAGAAGGCGGGGCAAGGATTACGAACATGTGGATTATACGAAGTTAAGCAGTACTGATAATGGTTTTGTGGATGCACAATTTACTAATCCACCCACCAAAATTCCATGGAGGGCTGTTACTCTCGCTACCTTATTATTTATTGCCGGTAGCGCTCTGTTAATAGTTGGTAGTCTTATTGTTAGTGGCCGTATTGATTCAAAGTACGCAGATCGTATGTGGCCCATGATTATATTAGGAATATTAATGTTTATTCCTGGTGCATACCATGTTCGCATTGCTTACTATGCCTTTCGACAGGTTCCGGGGTATTCATTTGATGATATTCCTGAATTCGACTGACTTACCATAGTATTTCCATAAGGAGTGCAATATATTTTTGTGTTAGGGCCATATGAACTGAATCAATTTCTATACAAAGCACAGAGCATACATTAGATGTGATGAAGGTCTTATGTTTAAATTAAATAAAAAATAGGTAATTTGTAAAGCCAAATTTATAATAGGTACCTACATACGGAGTAGTGTTCATACATCAGTTCATGCTTGCCAATAAATCACTAGTTAACTACCTAGAGTGGAATTATTTTGTTATGAACAGTTGTGCAGTAGACCAAAGATTTTATATTTACTTACAAGACAATGTTTCAAACAGTGGCATGAATCGGTTTTTTCCGAATTCTGCTTACGGACGCCCATCTTATAGCTCATAACAAAATAACCCCACTGTAAAATCTGCAATTTATACACAAAGTGTAGAAACGGGTCACTAATTGTTAAGTGGGAAATAAATGAAATATAAAAAATGTTTTCAATGTAAGTATGTTGTCCTTTCTTGCACTGTGTGATGACTATCATCAACCACTCAAAAATCTCATTTCATAAACTAATATAATAAAATAAGTATACAATGGCCTGAATTACTTTACCATATACCTACATTTAGCTTTTATTTTATTGACTTGTAAGTAAATGTTTGTTAAATTATGTTTAAATAAATGTTACAATTTCTGGAGTCCCTTTTACGTTTACCTTAAGCCAAGTGTAATGGTCAAACTTATCAAGCCCATATGAGTAACAGTTCTTCATTGCATTGATAATGTTTATTACCTACTTCTATTTCTGATATTGGGCGAAAAAAAATGGATTTCAATGACACCCGTCATCAAAAAAATTTGTTTCCTGTGTCTGAATTATAACGTTTTGCGACACACAAAATTTTTAACGCTTCATCACATATGAATTTTTCATCTGTCTCTTACCTAAACACCATTCATTAATCATGCACTTTTGTGTTTTTGGTAAAACTTGTAATAAGTAGTGTACCTACGTATTCTAGACCTCGTATAAATGTGGAATTTCCTTTTTAAATAATTTTGTCAAATCCTCTAAAGTAATTTTCTATAGTATATTTTCCACCATCCCACCTTATACAACTACCCTTATACGTGGTTGTAGGGGGTTGAAAATAATTTCAAAGTCCAACAAAACAAAAGAAATCAAGATATTTCGAAAACAGTAATGAAATAAAGTTCAAGATATTGAATAAGTTGAAGAATGGCACAAAAATATCCAGGCGGGATTTACAAATTTGCCGCCCCTATACTGATCAACTGGCTAAAATTCGATACCCTATACAGCAGGGTGTAAACTGGGAAAAAATTACCTTGAGCAAAAATGCTAAAAGGCTCTTAGAGGACTCTGTAGCAAGAGTAATTTTCTTGTGGCATTTGTGTAATTTGATACTTAGGTATTTATTAAGTTTATAAGTTACTCATTTATGTGCCTTTTTGTATGTTGCTTTTCTGCAGCAATATGAAATAAGCGCAAAACTCATAAATTTCATTTGACTTTCTTTATTGCAAGAAATGCGATAACCTGCCTATACCTACAGGCTGTTTCATGCAAACCGTTACCTAATAAAGTATTTAGACTTTCATTACTAACTTGAAAATTTGCATACCAACATAGTTTTTGATGATCTATCGAAAGAAAATATTATTATATGATGGTTTCACTTGTACCAAAAGTGGATAATAACTTTCTTATTTTAAATAGAACACTCTATATTTTATTGCATTTTCGAAATCTACATGAAAATCTACGTCGTTTGACCCCACATTTCCCTATACCCAGCATCAAAGGTTTTCAAGTTATTCAAGATGTTTCAAAATTTTTGACGTTTGACTGCTTTTCTTTAGCGCCCTGTACCTGTACCTACCACATCTGTGCCTGTACCTATGACTCCGTTGACTTAAATTTCCAAAGGGTGTTTTAAAATTAATGGCCAAGTAATAACTTCAAATCTTAAAAAGTTGATTTTTTCAAATGAAACCTGCTTTATTTTTTTCAAATGTGGAAAAAACTGGTGGTTATTGCGATCACCGTTTTTTGGACATATCAAAATTTCATCAATTTCGACGTTCATTTTAAGCAACTTTTAAAGAATAAATTATTGTTTCCCGAGATAACCGGCTCGACGGTTTTGTTCAAATTTTGAATCTTATAGATACGGAAACGAAAAATAGCGGGCCGGATTTTGAAAAAATAATTTTTTGGAGCGTCGCAAAGACATCGAATTTTATTTTTCAAATAGCAACGCAAAATTTTCATTAAACTATTCCAAAGACTTTCTTGTTCTGTGTACAACCTACAAAAATTATGGTAGGTTTTATTAATTATGGTAGGTTTTATTACAAAAAGAACGGAGAAAAAATTTAAAAATGTCAAAGTTAACAAACCGCTTACCTCCATTTTTTTTGCAGTAAAACGATTATTTTAATTTCGTTACAATTTTGGCAGTGTTCATTAGGCATAAAGGATTTAAGGCTGTTAAAAACTTTGTTTTAAATATCTGGTTTGAGCTAGGAAGCTGATATGTCAAGAATTTGTTACCTGATTTTCATTTTCACTATGAAGATCTCGTAGATCGTAAGAGAAACAAAGTCGCTTAAAAATAGGCAATTAAATTCCTTGTAGCTCTACAATTTGCGAAGTTCTGTCCAAAAAACCGAAAAATGTGATTTTCGAGAATATGCGCTGGCGCCTGGCGTTCGTTTATTTTCAAAGATATCAAAAAATAATTTTTTCTATTTCGATGTGGAAACAATACCGAAACCGTACTTGATTGGCCCAGTTTGCGTGCGTTTCTAGACAGAAATGATGCCGAAAGAAATAGAAACGCATTATTTTTTTAATTTTGTTGGATTGGTACCCCTCGCTTTTTTGCTGTCAACGGTATCCGTCAAATCAAAACTAAACATAACCTGTAAAGTGTAAATAACGTACGAGGAACTTGACCGATTGTATTAATGCCGATTAATTTTGAATATATACTCCAAAGGGTAGAACTTTTATTTTTACTTAGCGTAGTAAAAGATGCCAGCAGTACATTCTTGCTTACTTTTTGAACTCCCCTTCTCGGCCAGCCAGTTTTCAAAAATTTTGTACTCCTCGTACTTTACTTTCGATTTTACAGGCAGTAAATTTAACGTCGCTTCATTGGCAATAATCTCTTGGATCTCTGGTGGGGTACAAGAGACGTGTTTGTCATCCGTATTCATCATAACTACCGCAAAATGGAATTATGACCAAATAATTAAAAGTTTGGAGTTTGAAAATACAGGAATCAGGTTAGCCAACGTGAAAATAAATGAATTGTGTCTATTACCAACATACACTGAATGATAGTTTAAAATTACCTAACAACGCCTAAATGCAATATTTATAATTTGTATAATTTATTATTTAAAATAAAAGTCGAAATAGAAAAAATAGTATAAAGCACACGTGTCATTTGTCTACTTGTCGCACTCGGCTTTTGCCGCATTCGCCGCTACGCGGCTTATGCGGCAAACTACCTCGTGCGACAATCTTCGTCAAATGACACTTGTACTTTAATATACTATTAACAAACTCTTGGTGATTTTTTCTCATATTTCTACATCAACTTTGTTAGTTCTTATGGACGCCATATTGGATTTTTATGTCATTTGTTAGAGAAAAAGAAAAAATATTACAAAATCGGAGATACCTACCAAATTTAATTCATTCGGAAATTAATCTTGGATTTGTCGATGAAGAGTTCCATGTATGTTTTGAGTGTTAAATTAACAAAGAAGAGACAAAAAAGTTTATTGTTTCTGTATCGGTTTACCTGATGGTAACAATTTTATATAAACTCATTTCTTCCTATTAAATGTAAACGTCCAGCTCGGCCTGATGATGACTGTTAAACGTCGAAATCGATAGCCTACAGAAATAATAAACTTTTTTGAATCTCGATTCTTGTCTTTTTTCTTAATCTTGAATTGTTGCATTGAAGTTTACAATGTATTTCTTATAGGAATATAATTCCATGGCTTGCTTAAAATTATTTAACATTTTTCGTTTATTGTTTGGCATAGCACGGCCATGGAATTATGGCCATAAGAAACGCATTGCAAACTTCAATGCAAACATTCATGAATAATTTACAAATGAAATAGTAATTAGGTACTGTATTTGGTATCTCCGATTTTGTAATTTTTTCCGCTATCTAGTGTAAAAATTCAATATAGCGTCCATAAGGAATAAGAAATAAGTTGATATGATTCACTCGAAACCCACAAGTAATAAAAATTTTGATTTTATAGGATCGTCAGAAACATTCTTCGTTTTTTTGGCCATATAACTACGCTATTTGTAAAGCTACAAGAGACTTTGAAACTTGAAAGGGAAAATAATCAGCATAAAAATCTGCATATCTTTGCCCATTTAAGCGACTTTGTATCTCCTACGGTTTACAAGATAGTCAAAATGAAAAAAAAAAACTCACCCTGTACAATAGGCAATGTTCGTTTTATTTCTGTAAGATAAAAATATTTGGGCCAAGTTTGCCGCCCCCTAAAATCTGCCGCCCTAATAGCCTACTCACCCTGCTGATAAATCCGCCACTGTCGGAACCTTCAACTTCTGAATTATATCTGTCTATACAGGGCACAGCAGGGACACATAAGTGTGTAAAAAATTTTTTGGATCAAAACGAGCACTTTTTTTAAATAAACCAACAAAACGTTTCGTTTGGGAGCCAGCCCCACAAAAATAGTGCAATTTACATTTATTCTTTAATTTTTTTACGGCATATCTTTGAATCGGTTTTCGTGTATGCCCTTTCCGATTTTGCAAAAATAAATTCCTACTACCAAAGCGCGCACCCCTAAATGGAGGTGCGAAAAAAATTCTGATTTCGACTTAAAATTCGAAAAAAAAATTCCACTTCGATTTTTGATCGAACAACGAAAATGAAGAGAAGCCCATGAAATTCGTTGTGCTTGCTCTCTAACCTGAATGCCATCTATTAGAACAGTAAACATGTATAACCATGTTTATACTCTCAAACTAACAATATTTGCACAATATATGTAACATATTGCAAGATGGTGTGGAGAGCGCAAGTCTTGGGGTCAGCCCTTAGCTTTTCGAAATAGCAAAATGATCAACTGTTACCTCTCTAAACGAGCCATCAGAATTTTTGGCGAATCTGGCTTGTTTAAGCAAACGGGTAAACGTCATGTTTAAAGGCTACTGACTTGTAAAACTGACAGCAGACCTGTAATAGTATTTTACATTATTAGTCAGGTAAGTGAGTTTTTACTGGCGATAGGAGAAGTTGACTGGCGAGCCGTCAGGCGAGCCTGTCATCTCCTAGAGCCAGTAAAAACGATTACCTGGCGTATAATGTACAATATTTTATTTACTCATTTGTAAACAATAATAAACGTAAATAATTAGTTCTTAAATTGATCTCGAAGAAATGTCTAAAATATCATGTTATCCATGTAACCGAGACTTCGCATTAATTCTGGCCAATGAAATTACTAGATTACTAACTTGTAAAATTTTTACAGGTCAGCTGTCAGTTTTACAAGTTAGTAGCGTTTAAACATGACGTTTACCCGTTTGCGTTTTGTCTTGTTAATCAACGTTTACAACTGAGTAACAAATAAAAAATTTTACAAGTTAGTAATTAATAGTAATTTCATTGGCCAGAATTAATGCGAAGTCTCTGTTACATGGATAACATGATATTTTAGACATTTCTTCAAGATCAATTTAAGAACTAATTATTTACTTTTACTATTGTTTACAAATGAGTAACAAATAAAATATTGTACATTATACGCCAGGTAATAGTTTTTACTGGCTCTAGGAGATGACAAGCTCGCCTAACGGCTCGCTAGTCAACTTCTCCTATCGCCAGTAAAAACTCACTTACCTGGCTATAATAATGTAAAATACTATTACTTTACAACTAAACTATTTCAGTCAGCAACTTTTATTACATATCTATTTATTATAGGTTGATAAGAGCAACAATTATGCGCTTAGATCTGAAATCATATTTTTGTTGTCGAAACTTAATACTGATCGGAGCATATAGACTAAAGCTTGATAAGAAAATACCTGAACGTTTTGTATTAAATTGTAATACACCGTCAACCGCTCACTACTACTGTTTTATTTGCATTAAAATAAGATCCTTAACTAATTCTAATGGGTATTTTAGAAACTATGCTTTGGATAATGGTGATCCATTCTATGTCCATATTGTACATTAGGAATACTTATCATTATTATGTAGTTTTTAATATGTCATTCATCGTACATTACGCATACGACTTAAGAATATGAATAGAGCTACAACACTCTCCCCTGCTAACATTTAATAAGAGAGCGATATTTCCTTCTATTTATTTTTCCCTTTATTTTTGAGTGGGCGGGGTTTCAGCCAAGGCTGCTCTACCAACCCAACCCACTGTATATTTACAAATATCGATCCCCGAACCCGGGACCCTTAGCACCATAGTCCAGCTTTAACTGAACTGCACCACACGGGCCGGCAGGGTAAATGAAATGCTTTATACCCTACTGATAAAAATTTATTAATAAAATATCATAGATGCCCTTAGGGCACTATCTATTTACAAAAACACCGTATTTGAAACGTATTTAATTCTTTACTTAACAACCTTCCAATTTTTTAATAACACCTCCAGTAATGTATTGCCCCTTATTAGATTACAATGATACTGAAGAAAAAAAAAAATCCTATGAGATTCTTGTATTCGATTGACAATTGCCACCATTGAGGCATACTTTTCTATCACAAAAGATGTTCTTAATAAAATAATTTTTTAAAATATCATGAAAAATGTAGAATTTATAAGTTTGGAATTTTTGAAATTGATTTTGTTAGAATAACAATTATTTGTATATAATTTGTCTGGCCTGTGCAACAAACACTTTCAATAAAATGAATAAGAAATATCCTACATCTATGTAAAGGCAATTATCCGCATTTGCAATTAGCGTTCAGTTTCATTAAATTTTGCAAATTTAACGATCCAGTCATAAAAAAAATAATAGTCACAAATTTTGTGTTTTCTCAACTAATTAGTGAGAAAAAGCTGTTCCGCCAAGTTTATAGTAGGTACTGTGGCGTTTGCAAATGTTTATTGGTTATTTACAATAAATCGTTAAGGATAACTAATAACTGTTTAATTGGCTTTTCAATAATTAATGCACTTTAACTTTAACAGTTTTAGTAATAGATTTTACATACAAGACCTTTTCACTGTTGTATACAAACCGAGAACGTGTATAATTATAACGTAGCTATATAACAGTGTATTGATAGATATGGACATATAATGGACACGATTGGTTCCCTGCATACTGTACTATGTGTATAAATAAACCTCGAAATAAACCTTCAGCATGGTCCTCAGAAATTTGCACACTGAATGACGCTCACTATTCATAATTTTACACATTTTTATTAAGCTTACTTATTTACACTTAGCTAAGTTTCTCAAAACAATTACTTTATTATAAGTCTCCTTGATATTGGTGATCATGTTAAAGAAATAGCAAAACGGAATACTTACTTGTGAAATTGCAGGATCTTCTTGATCACTATTTGTGATTATCACGTACAAACATTTGGTTACAAGAATATCTACTGGGCAAGCCAGCTTTAAATGAGTGTAATGTGCATAGTCGTCTGCACTTATATAAGTTGCGAAATAAGAAAGGCAACACTGCAACTGAATGCCTCGGTCCAACTTTTTTATATGCTCTGCATTGTTTCGTCACACCTACTCGTGAGGAAATTCTATGACTTGCTTTTAAAAAGGTTACACAATGTCTATCTTGTATTTTGCTACTTCAAGAGGCGAGTTCGAATCCACCATGAAATTTGATTTTTTACTTGATTTCAAGAAGGCGGGGATTATTTCACCAACCAACCTCCTAGAGTTGCAAAACCTTCATACCCAAATATGAATTTAAACTAGGAATAAATGCTATTTTGGAAAATTTTCTCTATAAAGGTAGTAATCATCCTAAAATGCACTAATTTTGTTGTTAGCAGGTTTACTTTCAATTCAGCAAGAGCATTTCTACAAGGTTCATTTGAAATTTCCCAGTGGTTTTCCAAATTAAGAAAAGAGACCAAAATCACAAGTGAAAATGTCAACATATATTTGAAAACTGAAGAGATGGTTATTTTACTAAAAATTAATGCAACAGTGTTCGATAGTAGCACAACAAACTTAATACAAAACAACTTTATTTAAAAAATAGAGAATAACAACTGGTACTATTCGAATTTTCTAACGTAATCAGATATTTAGATCTATTGACAAAATTGGGGCGCAGTCTACATTCACAATCAGTGCAGTCAAACAATTTCCATGAATAAATTTGCAATTTTTTATTAAAAATTTGGTAACACTATGACTTGTACATTGAAGCTTACCAAGGTGGAAAGTCCTATCTATTACAATTTGTACAAGATGAATATTTTTTCTACAAAAGAATCACATGTTAGCTATTAAAAAAACTGTCCTCAATGGCACTTGATTATTAATTAATGTCTCATGCTTAATACTGAATCCTAGACAGCTCAGATCTGATTTTTATGTCAAAATATTTGACAAGTTATATTTACTATACATAAATAGTTAGGTACACCTTGTTTACTTTAGCTAAGAAAATAGGAAACACCTAGTTGTCAATTCAGATGATACTTTATGTTCTCATCACAAATATACCACTTCATACGCAAAAAAAATGATGATTAAATCAGTAGATAACTCTAAACAAATACAATTAAAAAAAGGTATTTGCTTCTTTATTGATATGGTGAGTAAAAAATTGAAAAAACCACTCTTTCTTCTGAGACCGTTGTCGTTCACCTACCAAAATTAACGCGATCTAATCTGATCTAAAAACTTTTTTTTTTAAACTGTGCAATGAAAATCTGTAAACAAGGTGTACCTTTGACATTTGACCAGGTATCAAAAATAGTAGATATTATGTTAAATCTATATATTTATATACATTTCCAGTTAACAAAACCGTTCAGCAAAGAAAATAAAAATGCTTACCCATACATGATACCATTAATACTATTATTTACATAACCTGTCTACTGAACTTTGACGTGTCCAGAATGACCTGCAAAAAAAACAGCATTTTGTAAAATTTTCTTAGTAAAAAGTAATGGTTATGTGGGTTAAAACATACAATAATGTTAGTAGTCGGGACCAAGTGTTACATCCAACATTGACATGACATTCTCATTATAGGGAACATGGCTAATCTTGATACGCAACGCCAACCCATTTTATGTTTATTTGCCCTTGTTGGATAAAGATAGTTTAATGAATTACGCTCATTATGCGCAAAATAGTTATAAAGTGACCACTAGTGCAAGCAAACAAATTAGAACTGGACAGGAATTTAGGATGATTGATGTATGTATTATTAAGCGGCAGAGCACAGCGATGCAAGCTTTATAGGGGAGTCGATGGTGTCCGTCTGTCCGTGAGCACGATAGCCGATTTGGTTCAAACTTTGCACAGTTGAGCTATATGTCACACGTAATAAGCCTATTGAAAATGGGTCAAATCCAATGACCCCGTGGGGTCATGCTTCTGTCTCTGCCAAACGCTTGAACCTATTCAGTTGAAACTTTGCACAGTTAACATATATACCACATGTAACAAGCCAATTGAAAATGGGTCAAATCCAATGACTCCGTGAGGTCACACCATCTCGATGCTCTGCCGCTTTTTTAGACGCTCTTTATGGGTTTATTTCAATTTTTCTGAACAAAATTTAATGAGGGCGAGTTTTTGCCGTGGTGTAACTTGTGTGATTTAAAAGTTAGGTTAAACCAGGGGTCGGCAATCTGCGGCTCGCGAGCCGCATGCGGCTCTTTTGATATAAAGTTGCGGCTCTCCGTATTTATCTAAAGAAATTACTTCATTTGTTCGAAATTCGCCTTCTTAATTAATCTTATTGTTTACCAAATCAAAAGTACACTTGCAGCAAATAATTATCTAATTTGTGACACCTGTTTACCTTTATACTTTCTTGTATTCTTTGGTTTTTTTATTATAGCAGCCTACTCCGATGTATAAACACGTAATTAATTAATGAGTAGGTAGGTACTTTTGTGAAAAATATTGAATAACATAAAAACTGCGGGGTTTAAGCACAGGGCACCCCTTATAAACATTGAAGAGAGAACGCAAAAGACAATCGAATAGCGAAATAAAACAGTAGTAGTTCCATTTGAAAAAGAATAGTTATAGCAGTTTGAACAAATGGCATTGAAACAAGTAAAAATATGCAGGATGTTCTATTTAAAAAGATCAGTTATTTATTGACATCGTAAAAATGGGACACCCTGTACATGCAAAAATAATTTCTGTAGATCCGCAACCACCAATATTTTTTACCAGGTATCAGCTATGTAGGAAAAACCGACGCATTATTGCAGGACCCTGTATATAGCCAAATACTATAATATTAAATCAAAATTTTTTTGTGGCTCTTTCAAAACTGGGAAATTTTATAAGTTGTAATTTTTGGCTCTTCTGTTTCAATAGATTGCCGACCCCTGGGTTAAACGAATTAAACAAATTATCTAAATCACCTATATGCGTTAGGGTACGTTTTTAGCGCTGCAAGCTGCAAGCAGAGCAATCGATAAAAGCGAAGCGACATTTTGCAAAATATTCTAGTAAATGAACGGGTTTATGTTCGAACGGCGGAAACGCATAGGTGCATCGAGAAGAGCGAGGAAAAAAGTTCATTTGATAGTATCATTGTTTTTAGGATGGATATTATATTTTGCAAAACGTCGCTCCGCTTTCATCGGTGCTCTGTTCGTAGCTCACAGCGCCAATATAAATGTACCCTTAGTCCTTACCCTTACCAATTAAACTCGACTCAAATTTATGCAGGTTGAAGAATCGTCCCAAGGTAGAGCCCAGAATGTACTATAGAATTGTGCATTGTCGCAATATATAGGCTGTTCCATTTCAACAAATTATACTGACGTCGTACGCCCCCTGTATATAAGACTAATAAAAAACGTGTAAGTGAAAATATTAATTCATTTGTCCAAAGGTTTTTCTAGAAGATAAAAACCGTAAGTCTAAATGGGTACGTTCAGCTGGGCTACTGCTGTCGTAGCGCCAATGTAGCGGTAGGTAGGAACGCGCAGCGGTTGTTTTGCGTCCGCCCTTTTTTCTCAGCGAAAATACTTTCCGCTTTGGCGCTGGAAACAGCTGTTTAAGTGCCGAATACGACTGAACGCGACCATTGAATTTGCTCCTTTCATTCTGAAGGCATTGTATTTGCATACGGTCAAGGGGGTCGTTATGTCACATTTATTGTAGAATTTGCTGCATGCAATTGTGTTATTAAGATTAACGTCGGCAATTTGCGTAACCATTTTGTAATACCTTAAATCGCGTATATTGAGCGATCCCAGTAACACTTAATTGCAAAAGACTTCACTGTGGCAAGAGCTTCTTAACTAGGATAGCTTTATTATAAATTGGAAGTTTTAATTAGGTATAAAGAAGAATGTAGTTTGGAAACTGGCCAATGGTTATTCCAAAAATTTAACTAATTTGTTACCAACGTTAAAGCCATTTTCATATACCATACGCATGACGTTTTTGGGAAAGGACTTCAATATTAACATAGTCAAACGCTTTGCTCCGTCATCTTAATTCATCATTTTCAATGGTACACTCTACAGGTGTGTACTTTATTACAATAATAGAACCGAAACCAACATATATCAATAATTTAAGATGCTATTATCTAAATCGGTAAGCATACTTAAACTTACTTTAGGATCCTTCGAAAATTTGACAATACCATATTTTTAACAATGGAAAAACCGCTTCTTTTTAGCGCAGGCTGCGCAATATCAACTTTCTTATTTATGGAGATATCTATTGGGAATTTTAACCAAAGATGCTTTTAGTAAAAGTAAACGTATCACATATTGTAAACATCAGATTAATGTGCGCGTAAGATACGCAATATTAAACTCTTATTGAAAACATCTTTTTGAAATGTTCATCACAAAAGCTTCTGTTAAAGGCAAACATGTCTGATATTGCAAACATTAGATGTGCGCATGCTCAGTCTTTGAAATGTTAACGATAGATGTTTCTAGTAAAGAAAAACATATCACATGTAGTAAAAATCGAAAACTACAAATGTCATTAGCACAAACACATAGCACATAGCAAAAATCAAATGTGCACATGCCAACTTTTTTTACTTATGAAGATCTCTCTTTAAAATTTCAACCCTAGATGGTGCTAGTAAAAACAAATACGTCGCATATACTATAAATTAAATATGTAAATTACATTTAGGTATAAGATAATATTGTAACGGAAATGCTGCAGACATGACGTCGCCTTTGGCGTTCTGGAATTTTCTACGCGTATTCGAGAATGTACTGGACTTACATTGCTTGCGTGTATAAAGGGTTGCGGACCGAACATCGCGGCAGTCTACTACGGAACGAGTACGTATGAAACATCGAGCGCGAAAATCTGAAATAAATTACGAAGTGTGTGTGATATAATAATCGATATAAATTGTACGGTTTTTATAGTGTTTTAGTTTTGTTTAATAAATATTGATATAAATCGAACCCGAATTTATAAATAACGTTACATTGGTGTCAGGTGTGGAATTAATTAAATTAAAAGTAAGATTAAATTAAGTGCTTCTGCTTGTGTATGCCTGTAACAAGATCTGCTGCCGCTAAAATGGAAGAAACGATGCTCAATTTGCTCCAGCAAATCCAAAATGGCCAACAGGTGTTGCAACAAGAAATGAAAAGCAACCAAGAGAAGATGGAAGAAAATTCTAGAAATTTTGAAGAGAAGTTCGAGAAAATGGAAGAAAATTCTAGAAAGATTAATGAAGAAAATTCTAGAAATATTCAAGAGAAGTTGGAAGAAAATTCTAGAAATTTTGAAGAGAAGTTCGAGAAAATGGAAGAAAATTCTAGAAAGATTAATGAAGAAAATTCTAGAAATATTCAAGAGAAGTTCGAGAAGTTGGAAGAAAATTCTAGAAATATTCAAGAGAAGTTCGAGAAGTTGGAAGAAAATTCTAGAAGGATTAATGAAGAAAATTCTAGAAATATTCAAGAGAAGTTCGAGAAGTTGGAAGAAAATTCTAGAAAGATTATCGAAGAAAAAGTTGAAGATAGAATTACGGAAGTTTCCAAAACATTTAAAGCAACATTCGTCGAGATTGAGCACAAGTATGAAGAGCTGCGCGAGCAATTCTTGCGACTGACTACGGAAGAGCGTACTAGTAGTGCCCCAGATGAATTACTGATCGACCGTCTTCTTGAGGTGCCACAGTCTACTCATTACAAGAAGGTCGACCCAGAAACAAATACAAGAGTAGAAGGCGACGTTCAGCAAGCCCGAGTAAAGCCACCTACTTTTGATGGTAAGATTACTTGGACCACGTACGTTCGACAGTTTGAAGCAGCGGCTGCGGCAAATAAATGGACTCTTCAAGACAAAACTACAGCCCTGATTCTTGCTCTGAGAGGAGATGCTCTGGATGTGTTGCGGACTATCCCCGAGGATCAACAGAACTTCCAACAAATAGTAGCGCGACTCGAAATGCGATATGGCGATAAACACCTTCAGCAAGTTTACTATGCCCAAGTCAAGAACCGAATGCAGAAATCTGGAGAAAGTTTGCAGGAACTTGAAGCGGACATCGCTAGACTGATTCGATTGGCATACCCTACGGCACCGGGGAGCTTTCTTGATCAACTGGCTGTACAAACATTTATCGATGCCGTTCGTGATGGAGATGCCCAGCAGGCTTTGAGACTGGCTAGGCACGACAAAATTGAGGAAGCTTTGGCCCATGCGTTAGAATTCGAAGCCGCCAAGAAAGCTAGTCATGGAAGTGCGCGAGTACGTATGGTGGAACCTCGCAGTGAGAGCCGGGTAAGAACCATCGAAGAGGAAGGTGGCTCTGAAAGTTTTGAAGAAAAGGTCAGTAAAGTAGTGGAAGAAAAGGTCAATAAAGCAATACAGTCACTGGCAAGGAAACGTGAACCACGATGTTGGAATTGCGGCGAGATTGGACACGTTCGCCGC